TAACTAGAGCATTCGGAAGATTGTCGTTCCGTTGAGCGTGAATGGGGCATTCAAAGCCCATCCGTTCCTCATAAACGTCGTCTTCGTTAGATTCACTCGAAGACCAATCTTCTACACTCGAACCACTCCACAGGCGCTGTCGAAATCGATCAACATTCGTTACGATTGCCTGATGCTTAGTGTTAGGACGATATCATCAGCAAAGCGAAGATAGTTTACTTGTCGATCGTCAATTCTCACTCCCATATCGTCCCATTCTAATGTCCGCGTGACGTTTTAGAGGGTGGCAGTGAATAATTTTTGGCAAAATTTAATCGTTTTGTCGAACCCCTCTTCTTGCGTCAATGGTGATATTGTTGTAGAATGTGCTTGTTGTGTTGGGATATTTTGGTCGTGATGTCTCTATATAGCTCACGAAAGATCATTATGTACCGAGTGGGACCGCCCTGGTTATCTAGAGCCGCTACAACCGCTTCTGTTTCCACTGAATTAAGGCTTTCTTCACATCGATGAAGGTGAGACAGAGTGGTTGTTTGTACTCTCCTAAAACTTCAATCAGCCTTGTTATCGTGTGGATGTGGTCTATGATTCTAAATCCTTTTCGGAACCCTCCTGCTTGCATGGCTGTCCTCCTTCCAGTGTTCTGTTAATCCCGCTTAGGATGACTCGACTGAAGAGTTTATAGAGAACAACATCAGGCAGATTGGGCTATAGTTGCCCATGTCGTGAAGATCTCCATTTTTGAGCAACACTGCTGTCTTGCTGGTTTTCGACTGGATGGGAACTTTCCATTCTGACATTTAGCGAGTGAAGACCCGAGCCATGGTGTTGATGAGAAATGGCTGTAGGTTTTTCAGGTGTTCTGGTCTAATCCTATCTGGAACGAGTGTTGTTCTGTTCTTCATCGACGATATAGCATGTCGGATTTTGGAAGGGAGGACCGATGGAACAACATATTCATCCCTCTCAATTTATACGACGGTAAGAGAGCTTGGCTAGCGAAGAGATCCGAGTAGTATTGGTGGATGATTTTTTCCATCGCCCTTCTGGAAGGTGCAAGTATCCTGTGAGTTCATCGGAGCGCAATCATCTTGGTCTTATATTGGCGCAGCCTCGCTGTGCTTTGCGAATGCTTTTCTCAGCTTCTGCAGTTTCTGCTATAACTGCTGCTCGTCTCTCTTCATAGTCTCCTTTTATCGCTTTTCTGCAGCATTTGATCGGCGTGGTTTTCGTTGCCTGTTTCTCGTGCGATTCTCCGTTGATGTATCAGCTCGAGTGTCTGCAGAGACAAGCGTTACATCGTGACTTTGGGACCATGGGCTTACATAGCGCTATTGTGAAGATATTCAACTGGCCGGTCGTATTCTTCGTCGATGTTGTCGGCAACGGTATTTTCCAAGGAGCCGACTATTATGCTGAATACATCCCAGTTTATGGTAGTTGTGGGACTTCGTTGTTTGAATGTAGCGGCTTTCTCTCCTTTCCGCGAAAAATGGAACGCTGCGCGAAGGAGGCGATGGTTAAATCCCGCGTAGAACTTAGGAACCACAGCGACTTCGGTCAGGCAAAACCTTCGATTTACTAAGATGTGGTCTATTTCGTTATGCTACTATCCACTGGGAGACTCTTACGTCCATCGTTGAGAGTGGGTGACCTTTGGAATTATGAGGTACCATGGAGGTTTTCGTCGTCATGATAAGCTCGGATAGCGTCTCACCCTGCTCATTCCACTTTTGTGCGTGGTTCCCAATGTGACTTTCTTCAGACGTCCTTCTAGGTGTATTTTCGCGTTAAAATCTCCAACAAGGACCTTGAAGAATGTATGGTCTTCTTCGAAGAATTTTTTCGAGGTTCATTTAGGACGTTTCTACTTCATCTTCGTCATAGCTTTATGCTGGTGCGCATGCAAAGAGGAAGATCAAAGCTGGCATTAAACCTCATCGTATCAACCGTAATCGTCCGATACAGGCTGTCAGTTGTTCAAACGAATATCGATATTCACGGTCAAATTCGATTTGACGAGGACACCAACGCCCCGACACTTCTGCTATCGCATGTTCCATGAAACAGTTCTTCTCTGATGTCATAAAGAGCGCGAAAAGGGTGGCGTCTTCTCGTCTCAGCCTAGCCAATGACGTAGTACCTTTTCTTTCCTGCTTCAATCAATAGATCTTCCACAGCGGATTCGTGAGCAAGTGTTCTTGCATTGTAGCTACAGATCGTCATTTTACTCCGTTTCGATTTTGTCAGCCTCATTTGGCCTTGAGATTCCAGCAGCCTCTCCGTAGTCGTCCTAAATGGTGCTGCCGTACCAGGAGCTCTTTCGGGGTCGGGACAATAAGGCTCGTGCTTGTTGCCGTTTTGAGCATTCATATACACAACGTTAGGGGCTGGCTTATCACGAGTAGCTTGCCTGTCTCGCTCGAAGGAGCGGAGGAGCTTATTTGTTTGAGGCGATTCCTAACCGCCTCCCATGCACTTCCTAGCCGCTTGATTGCAGGTTTTGGCCTACTTACTTGCAGAAATAAAGTTCTTTCAAATCGGCGCTGCAAAAGCAGGACGCTCATCCCCTGAATCCACCCGCGTCTGTAGAAAGCACACGATCGCTTTTGGTTCTCGTTGAGTTCTTCTATCCACCACCTGGGAACGCGCCACGTTCCATCGCGACTAACCGGTGGGATTCCTCAAAGAGAGGAGATCTGTGGTGGACCCTTTTTTGGGTCTTTTGATCTAGTCGCATAAGCCCTCGAACCAAGTACACGACGGGTATGAATAAATGTGCAGTAGTGTTTACTAAAGATACCAGTTTGCTAGCAGTGGATGTAGATGATTTTGAAATACTCACAACGTGGTGATAAGTTTTCCCAATCTTATCATAAGTGAAGGTGTAATTAGGAAAGTCGCCAAAGTGATTGGTTGGATGTCGAAGTCAAGTTCTGCTAACATGACTGAGAACGACGATATAGTGGGCTCTGCTGAAAAAGATGCCTGCACGATAAAGCTTCACGAATAACTGCTGGCTAATGTAGTCCGCACCTCTCACTCTAAGAACACAGCGCTCGGGAGTTGACCGTATGTTGCAAACGAAGCAGTATATGAGTTAGTGATTAATTCAGGATAACTCGTTTAATTCCAAGTGGCACACATATGCGTCAGCTTTCGTCATCGTGAGCAGAACGAGGAGAGAATTTTAAATCTGAGGGCGTTGAAATGGTCAATGGTAATTTATCTGATAAGTCGAGGTTTCGGGAAAATATCATCACCGCTAATTAATGTATACCAAAGTAGAGCTGTTTACAAAGGCTTTTTTCAGCGTAAATAACGCTTATGTGTCGAGAACTTCTACGTTTCAACGAAAAAAGAATGTAGTTGCGGAGAGTAACGTAAATTTAGCTGACATAGCATATTTGAGCGCACGTGGCGCAGTGGTTAGAGGTGCTCTGCGGCAAACGAGGCCAATGGTTGGACCTCGCGCTTATGGCTCACGAAACCATCAATCCCTCCGGGGTCGGTAAGCTGGTACCAGACAGGTCTCAGACTCGTTTGGGAGTATAGGCAGCACTGATTCGGTTCAGCGGGAGGCCACCGTGAGTCTTTATATAGTCCAGATCTGCATTCAATCACCTCAAACGAAGCCCAAAATCGAAGTCGAGTGCATGGCGCATCCCTCAGGGATTGATCAACGCCGTGAGCTCTATCCTTTTTAACACATCAGCTTCTTTTTTTTTATTCTGTCTTTGCAATCCCACAGCTTAGGAAATGCCGATTTTGATGCCATACTCGATATGTGAAAGAATCTCCAAAATGCGCTCTACTAGCAAGAGAAGATACCGTTTCGCATTCGGAGTCGTTGTTGCAACTTCCCAGCGGATTTGTTTGCATTACAACGTAAAACTGTGATTCTAAGCTAGCCTTCCAGAAATCAGTGATTCCAGAAAAAACTAATTTGTTATTGGAGGCACTTCCTTATACATACTTTTTTTTTGGAAAGAACGGTCAATTTTGCTAGATACTTTTCAGTGCGCACAGATTACACCGATGAATAATATTCACAGCTGTGTGCAAGTAGGTTTATAGAAAGTATTCATGAGATAATAGATTGAAAGTTCCTCAATAAAAGTATAGAAATTCCAATACCTAAAGTACACTAATGTCGGGTTATTGTAACGAACATTGCAATGACTTTTTTAGACCTCGTTCAAGAGCTATACAATTTGACAATGCATTTTAAGCCTTTCATAATGTCCGTTATGGGCACTTATACAGAGTAAGACACGTGTTGCGACCTTCCAGCCTTAGCAGTTGCACGGTGCCTTTTTGTTCAGTTCTTGGTGATCTAGCCCTATATAGGTGGATCGACGACGAACTTTCTACACCCCGACGTACGGTGAAACAATCACCGTGGTGTTTTTTCAAAGTGTCGAGTGTGATTTTGTCGACTATATCATGTCCCGTGCAACTGACGAGGCTATAAGGCGGAAACACACACTCTGAGTTTTTTTCAGAAGACTGCCGTGACTTTTCAATTTCTCGATGTTCACGTAAGAAATTTATTGAACAGAAGCGGCAGAGGGCAGAAATAAATCAACGGCAAGCAGAAGATGAACACATCGATACTAAAAGGCGAAAAAAAAATGCCTTACTCATTTCTCACACATAAAGAACATCGACTGGAACATGAAAATGTAGCGTTCATATCTATGTATACTTAGTTCAGTCCATATTTTTATGGGGCCTGAGGAAAACGGGGCTCACTGGATTTTTGTTACAATATCATCGCATTTTTCACTTCCAAAAAAGAAAAGTAGAAGAGAGAAAGAACTTCCAAGCTAGAAAAAGTGATCAATAGACCAGCGCATTCAACGAAAAAAGTAATTGAGCCTCAAAGTAAGGCTAAAAAGTACGGGTTAGGTTGTTCGAAAATTGAAACAGAAACTGTGCTTTGTTTTCCTTGTATATCTTTCACAAATGCCTAAGAGAACTGAGTGGTGAGCAAGAAACGGCTTCGGGCGGGAATCGAACCGCTGTTTTATCCTATCCGGGGACGCGTGCTGTACCACTGCACCACAGAGGCACATTTGCGCGACCACTCATTCTTCAACATCTCTTTGTCAGCTATAAGCCACCAACCCTTAATAGGTTTGGACGTGTATGCGATTCCGCTCTATAAACCCAGTTGGGCTGACAGCCATTGTGATATGTAATACTCAAAATCTTTGGTGTTTCTAATGCCTTTTCGCGGTGTTATGATGTTTCATAAATACCTAAGAGAAGTGAGTGGTGAGCAAAAAATGACCTCAGGCGGAAATCGACTGCTCACCACTGAATTCTCTTGTGTATTTGTAAACCTTTCTTTTGAGTGCTTTATTAAGACCACGCTCAAATTTCAACAGATCCTTTCATTATTGTTTGAGCCAACATGTCATGTGGTCTGGTAAGGGCTCTTCTACAGCCCGATACACGTGTTTCGTCCTTACAGACTCGTCAGTCGGGCAGAACCAGTCGTCTTTCAATCTTGTTATTAGTCATTTCTCTCGGGAGCCCGCTCTCCCTGCAGAGAGATATCGAAGACGGCTCAAATAGACATGTTGGCTCAAATAATAATAAAAGGATCTCTTGGAATTTAAGCGTGGTTTTTATAAAACACTCGAAACAAAGGTATAACATGGTAAAAATACCAACCAAAGAGCAATCGAGTGTACAACATTCTGTGTTTGGTGAAAATTTCACTTGATATAGAGTGCAAAACATCCGTCTTCAACACCTCTCGTAGGGAGAGTAGGGCTCCCGAGAGAATTGACTATAGGGATCAAAAGACGGGGGGTTCTGCCCGACTGAAGAGTCTGTAAGGACGAAACACGTGTTCGGGCTGTACAAGAGCTCTTACCAGACCACATGACACGTCCTTATTGACCTCAGTGTTCGCCTTTGAATAGATCAAATGATAACCTTTTTCTGGTGCATTGCTCTGCAACAACCATAAAACACTTCCATATATCAAAAATGTCTAAGCATCCCTATCGTAAATATGTTTCATTTCAATGATTACTATGCAGATGAAGCCTTCGTGCATTTCATAAACATTTGGTCAGAACGAGTGTGAAAGTAGTCATACATGGTGTGACATTGATGCGTATGACTATGTTTGTGTAGAACCTCATCGGTGAGTGTCTTTTTCATACTTTTTTTTTGCAGTGGTGTGAACATGTTTCTCACTTCGAACCATTGACTTTTTAAGCGCAGATGAGGTTATGGAGAGTATTGTATCAAATGAAATTCGTTTTATTTTAACCGCTTATAGCGATGGTATGATGTTTCAAATACATACCCATTGATGTGGAGCAATGTGCAAAACTTTCGCGTCAGACGGGACTAGAACCCTCACCTCACTCTTTCCGGGAATGCGTGCTCTATCCGTTACACTACTGGACATCCATTTTGCACATCGCTCTTTTCTACGCTTCAGCGCACCTATCTGCCAGCCGAAAGCAGAGTCAACGGCCTGCCCGGGTAGTCGATCTCGGCACTGTGAACCCAGTCAAAAGATATTTAGTGGCAGAAGCAATTTAGCGCAGACTTCATTTCTGCATAATGTTTGTTCATGCTTGGTCAACGTACAGAACTTGTCTTCGAACTAAGAAGATTTCCACAGAAAAACAGCAACAAGAAAACTTTCTCAGCAGCTTCCCCTTGTCTTGCATCGGATGCTCAATTTATGTCAGCCATGATATATATGGCATTGTCGAAAACGGATTCGTTTCATGTGGGTAGCTCTTTTCACTTGATGACATTTCTTCATCATTTCCTAATCAAAATGGAATACTTTATACGTAGAATGCCTGTGGTCAGATTCAAAAATATGGAATGATACCGACATTGAGGTTAATTTCATTTTTGTTCAAAACGATGCGATCGATGTTTGCATGTAGGAGATCACATTGAACGAAAGTTGGAAATTGAAGACGAGTGCGTGGCTATATCATTATATATTATACAGAATGATAGTGATTATGCTGTTAATTGATTAATTTCGTTTAAATAACTAAAAACTTAATCAAACAAAAGTGTCGAAATGCGATCGATTTCATGGTACAAACCCAATATAATCCAGAAAAGTCGGCTATGTGATCTGATCTCGACATAAGTAATTGGTTCATTTTCTTGCATTACTTAGGCTGAAATGAGGTTATTAACACGTATTATTCGGCTAATATCTCGGCATCTCTGTCTTTGGTATCGTATTATTCGGTGCGATGGTCCACAGCGTGTAATTTCATTCATGCCATGTGAGTGTTCGTTAAACTATCAAGTGGATACAAAATAATACAAGCTAATTCAGAATACAGTCCATTGTATATACCAAGGAAAAGGCGCAAGAACGACTGGCTATTGTTTTTCAACAGTACAATGACCTACTTCAGTATAGCGAAAGTCGTTCAACAGGTTTTCCTGAACTTGGGGTGAGTAGTTCATGTGACCTGACCCTTTCATGGTCTTCGCCAGCCACATCATCTGTGCTCGAGATGGAGATCGACTAGTCTTGAAAACTGTAGGAATACGATTTATGTGTTGAAATGAGTGATCTTGAAATTTGATCACAAAGTCACTGCTTTCCTCTACTGCAATTTCAAAGTTGATTTTTCGAAGATCACTTATTCCGAAAATGGTAGAATAGCTTACCCTGTCAACTACCCTCTAAATTCACTAGAAGAAGCACTCAAATTCTATGAGTGGTTTTTGTTTCTGCAGCTTTCAAACATTTCAATAAAATAAATGTAATAAAATCTAATGAATCTTTCGCAAGGGAGCGTTCAGAATCTTTTGAACGACTACATTATTATCCATAACTTTGGAATTTTTCGTGAGACAAGAGGCCGCTCTTCATGCAAATCGCCATTTTCTTTTCTGTTTCTACTCACCAACTTTCAGTTTGCGGATATGAGTAACATCTATAAAGCAAGCAGATTCATTGGAATTAATTTTAGAGCACCCAAAATGTGAATGCTTGCAGATGGGATTTGGTCACTTTTCGATAGGCGAATGAGTGAGTTTTTAGCCGAAACTTTCAGAGCGAACGCTGCTGTGAAATCAATTCCAGCTATTATTCAAACCTTAAAATATTATTTATTTACAGCAGAAATTAGACATGTAAAAATGTATGTGGGAAACTTCTCAATTACTTCTCGAATACAGTTTTAAGCACAAATTCATCACATTGTGCATTTCATTATAATAGCCTTTTGGATGCATAGCAAAGGCCCAAAAATAAACTGAAAAGAGGATTACCTCGTAATTAGGCCCTAACCCCGAATCATACCTGAGGCTGGCCTTTCCAACCTGAGTTAGGCCACAGCCCACTGTTGCACTGACCATAAGCGGCTGCTCTTCATTGAATGATTGATAGACACAAACATCACAACGTGTGAGCGTGTTTTTGTGATGAAGTTTTTACTATGGCCATCCAAAAAAATCATTTCTTCTACGTTTTCTGCTAGGTTTAGGAGGTTTTGACTTGGTACATTATGGATCAATATGATCTTTCCAGGCTCTGAAGAAGGCGACCCGCCGAAAACGATAGCCAACCTCGAATATTGTATATTCACGCTGCATTTACTAACTGTATTGTTGCATGCTTCGCTAGTATTTCAATAAATAATATCAATAACACCTAGGAACGGCCGAAACAGAAGAAGATGCTCACTTCAATATAATTTACTGCTTTCCACTCTGATTGTTCAACACCCATATGGTTGCCAGTTTATTGATAGTGTACTGCCACTTTGAACATCGATTAGATAAGAATGATTGTCTCATGAATATCACAGTTCACTTTCAATTTCAGCTGACAGTGACCGTCTACCGTGTACAAATGCGAACCAAACGGACCCGATCTTAACAATCGAAGCGCTCTGTCCACAACATTTTGCCACATCGACCTCGACCAATTAGCCATGATGATGTTCGTAGTCTACATAGAACTTTTTTTTATAAACGAAGTTGTGCAACTAAGAAAGCCGTCCAAACCGTGAGAGTTCCTGAGAGGGACAAGTGCTCGCCGTCGATAGCCTTGCAATATCGTGCATTTCATCTCCGCCGCCCATTCGCCACTGCGGGCAAATTCCCGTCACCGTGCTACCGACGATAATACAGGTTTCCATCGCAGCGTTCTGCTAGAAACTATAGATCTCTAGAAACACTTCTTCTTCTGTGCACAAACCTAAGCCTGGAAAAATCAAACAATGTACACTTCACCTATTAACACACTGAATACTATACTTTTTATTCTGAAAGTAAAATATGTATAACATTCAAAAGTTATTCTCAGTTGAAAGATTTTGATGTAATGGCTCTGTGATAGTTAACCTCAAACTCCGATATATTTTATAATAAGTTTCTAGAAAATGTCTTTGTTTGCAAAAAAAAGTACACCTCTGCTTTTTGAATGCCCCTTATAGTTCGGATTGAAATTTCCTGCATGAATGTCCACTGCTGGAGACTTACGCTCTTTCTCTTGGTTCCATTAAGAGCTGACATCGCAGCGGTTCGTAAGTGGTATTAACTTGAAGTTGACCCAGAATGTGTGAGATCACAAAATCAGGCAAGAGTGCTCTCCGACCTTCGATTTCGAGAACATCGACGAACCTAAACGTAAATCTTCACTATTTCGACGAGTGTGGTCGGAAGTATTTTCAACTAACATATGTGAAATTTGTCAAGTTAGGTTAGCTTTAGAGACTGAAGATATAAGAAAAAATTGCTACTCATCTCATACTTCTTTCAGAATTCACGAAAAAATGGAATACCTAAGTTGTAAACTCACTGTTTGCATTGCAAAACGTTGTGCAATGCCTTAACAGCATCCTTGCTGGTTGCAATACCGGAGTTGCAATACCGGAGGCGGAGTTTCGTTTGGGGTTGCTATGTTCCCCCAAGTAGAAGCACCGGCGGCGGGATCCAGTGGATGAGTATATAATGGTAGCAGTGGGGTCGCTACAGATTATATATGGGCAGAATCCCTTCACCGCGGTGGTGGGCCGACCATAGCCTAAGTGAGTTTGCTCCGCCACGTTAGTG